CGCGTTAAGGCAAGCTTATTACAGCCAATCTGCTGAATTAAAAAAATCAAGGAATTAAAACTTCTGTTTTATATGCACTGATGTTACAGTAAATGAACGGTACGAAGCATCTAAGTAACATCAGTGCATATTAAACACAATGGGACAATTAGATGGATCACACCAAAATGAACTTGTATAATGGTGCAAACTTTCGACACCATAAATCGTTAAGATAAAGCTACTCCTGTTCTTGCTCAAGCTCACTGGCCTCGTGATCTAAGGCATGAAGTATCTTCGCCCAGTCGAACACTGGGATCGTGGGTTCGAAACCGACTCAAGATATGGATATCTGCGTTTATTCTGTGTTTGTATTAGGTAAGCGGCCTTGCGACGGGTTGATCCCCCTTCTAAGAAGTCCTACCGTCTGAGATTAAGAAACTGAAGTGAAACAAAGCGTTTCAAGGATGTCATGCTCCAAGTTGGAGCAACATGAGTAGAAGAAGAAGAAGAAGAAGAGACTCCTGTTCTAATCAAGGATGAAGCCATTCCAACATATACCTGCTCTTAAATTAATTGTCATCTTTTGAAGGCACATGGAGGAATGGAGATTACATTGCTGCATAAGTTTTGGCTTACTGCACTGGGTAGGAACAAATGCACAACTGCAGGACCGTTTGGTTAAGAGATCCACTTTTCCACTGGATGCGACGTTGGGTGTACCCAAAAGTGGGCATGGATAAAGAGACGAAGAGGACATTTCTGCGTCTGCGCTGCATCTAGCTCTACAAGTGCAGCACTAAGACCAGTCACTCTCCAATATTCGTATCCCCACCAGACCAGCACAGCGCTAATGTGTTCAAGATACAAATACTGAAGCCTACAATACACTTTTATTTCGTAGTCTTTAAATAAAATGTATAATGAATATGTAATTAGGAAACCGTGTCTGTGTGTCTGCCACTCTGTCTTCTCATGTTCTTGCAAAATAAATACCCAAGACTATTCAAAATATTTCAAATAAATTTTGATCCGATGTCTCCACTAAACCTAATAGTGCCAAGTAATATAAAATTTATTTGTTAAACAAATGTAAATACAAGGACAACCCTTCTTCTTCAGAGGGTAGCGTCAATACATTCCCCTGTCTTTATGGATTCCCAATGTTCATTACCGTGTTCACAAGAGCCGATGACTGGTCCCTATTCTGACTCCCCCATGCAGCCCGAAACCTCATTTCTTATTTAAGATACATTTTAATATTACACTTCCACATACATTTGGATCTCCCAAATTGTCTTTGTGCATGCTCATCTCGTCCTTACCTGCTTCATCCCAGCCATTTGAACCTCATCGACTTTATCACCGTGGTGATATTTAGCATAGTGTAAGGTAAGATAAAGGTATCCCTGCAACAGGCCANGCTATCCCTGTAACAGGCCGTGGAAGCCCTTAGGGTTGTGAGACGTCCAGACTCCCATATTTTCTAGACAATCGGCTCACAGTTGGCAGTGAGGTTGTAAGCCTTACGCGCCGGCCGCCCTTTACCCACAGGAACATTCCTGGGACTCATTTCTGTTAGAAGGTGTAAAGAACTGGAGGAATGTAGCATCGAATGGAGAAGAATGGCGAGCAATCCTGAGGAAGGCCAGGGCTCACAAAGGGCTGTCGTGCCAGTGATGATGATGATGATGAATTCCTGTTAGAGGCTGAGTCGTCTCCAGGGCCATAGTGCGCTGGAAGGGTTAGGTCAATTGAAAATCCAATGACCTAATTGGGAATAGAACCCGCGACCTTCCGGCTTGTAGCATAGTGCCTCAACCAACTACGCTACCGCGTGCCCTTAGTATAGGGTACCATTTTGAGACTCATCATTATGCATTTTTCTCAGTTCTTCTTTTCGCTTCTCTTCTATGCAAGTGCTTTACTCAGTATTACTTTCTCAAAAATAATCAAAGTATACAGGACGTGACGTTCTCACAGCGCTGGTTATGAAGAGTTCTGCATTCTGGGATATAACGCCACGTACTTCTTGGAAAGTTAACCGACGTTTAAGCGGAAAACGTAGTCTCCATCTTCAGAGTCACTAACAAAATCGACTCTCTTAATTGCTGACATGATTACCTTATGCACAAAAAAGCCTGTACCATGTTCATGAGAGGGGTTACGCGGTAGCGTAGTTGGTTGAGGCACTATGCTACAAGCCGGAAGGCCGCTGGTTCAAGTCCCGATGAGGTCATTGGATTTTTTCAATTGCCCTAATCCTTCCAGCCGCACTATGGCCCTGGGGTCGACTCAGCCTCTAACAAAAATGAGTACCAGGAATATTCTTGGAATATTCTTGGGGGTAAAGGGCGGCCGGCGCGTAGGGCTGACAACCTTGCCGCCATCTATCAGCCGATTTTCTAGAAAATGTGGGAACCTTGACGTCTCACAACCCTATGGGTCTCGACGGCCTGTTGCAGAGACAGCTTTACTTACTTTTTACTTTACCTAGTTCATGATTCCCACTCCCATCTCCCCATGAAAATTGATTCCCACTCCCCTCTCCCCATAAAAATTGATTCCAACGTCCCTCTCCACATACAAATTGATTCCCACTCCCCTTTCCCCATAAAAATGTGCATGTATCTGCTGGTTTGGTGCCACACCTGTTAAGCTGTCCAGTGGTGAAGAGACTTCGTCCTTTGTGATAAAATATTGATAGTAGCTACGTCTAAAATATTATAAGAAAATAAACTACTAGATGCTCAAATTATAAAGCGTTAAAGACCCATATGAGCTCCTAACAATTTTGACTGTTGAGTTCCCTTACCTTATCGAAAATCTCGAATGGAAGAGTTGTATAACATTTTAAAAATTGACAAATAATAGCAGATTATACATAATATACAGATGACCTTGAAGACCACATCAGAAAACAATGAAAGAAAAATGGATAAGTTACAGCAAGCGATATCCCGAGTGAAGCGATAAGGTGCGGACTGTGCTAGCCCAGAGCAGGTGTCAAGGGGTAAATATAATGATTACAGCCACAAAACTCCAGCCGATAAACCTATGATGTTAACCTCATAAATTCCTTTGCAGTAATCAGGCGAAAGAAAATATGCACACAGAAATATGATTGAGAAGTCCCTTAAAATAACTCACCTTAGCCGAATAAGTCATTTAGGCAAGAAAAATACTGGTATTAAAAGAATCTGGAAGTTTTATTGGACGGCCGGACACATATAAGTATATTTCGCTTATTTACATTATGAATATGTAACACAGAAAATGTTAATATATTTATTATACTTGTAGCTGAAATTTAATGTGTGTCTTCGACTTTGGGGACTCCACCGCTTCGAAATTTGAAAGTTTTCAAACATTTCGGTGAGCCTTGTCCCTACTCTCTTCAGGGTTGAAAACTTTTGGAGAGGTTTTGACAGCTCTTATATTGGCCAAATTGTTGCAGGTGAAGCCGCCACTGGATGAAGGACAAGATTCTAGACAATAGGAAATGATCAAGTGTCTAATGAAGATAAGAAATGATCTGGACAAATCGTGGTACTTAGAAGAGGTGGGGGAAATGTTTCAGCGACTCCCTAATTACAATAAAATATGATGGAAGATATACCCACTGTCTCATCTTCCACAATTTTTCTTATTTTTCTTCTTCTCCCCAAATGGACTGAAAAGTGAAAGTTATTCAGTGGTGGGTTTGAGATGTTTACTGAATCTGCATCCGTCTTCACGGTTAGAACTACAGGAGTACTTTGCTGTTTCGATGGTTTCCTTTTGTTGCAGGACGATAGGTCCGGATGTTGGTCATTACCTCTGTTCTCTCGAAATTGATGCTGTGTTTCGTCTGTGCGGTGTGTTCCCTGGGTCCCCAGTCTGGTAACGCTGATGTGTTCTAAATCCTAGTGGACATATGATGATCAGTTTGGTTGATATATTTCTTGTTGCATTATCGGGGAATCTTGCAAACCCAACATTTTAGCCGTGTGTCCCTGGCGGACCTCTTGCGACCTACCATTTTGTTAAATGGTTAATGGATTGTATGAATGTTTTTTCTTCGACAGTTGGAGATGCGGTCAGTGGTGCGTGGTAGGTATGCTGTGTGGTCTTGCTTCTTGTTCTTGTTTGTGCAAATGTCCTTGGTTGCTCTGTTGATGTCCTGGAGAGAGTAGCCATTGGTCTGGCACACGAACCTGACATTTTCTAGTTCGGCGGCCTGGCTGGACCTGTCACAGATCACTTGTGCTGTCTCTATTGATGTAGTGATGACGGCTCTCTCTTGTGGGTGGTTTGAATTTACGAGCAGCCTGTGTGGGTGTGTTCTTCAGTGAGGAGTCCACGTGTCTCTTATCCAGAATATCAGAAAGAGTTGTCAAAATATTTACATGTTCTCGCCCACCTTATTTTTTTCTGTTGGCGCTAGAGCCACAATTTGGGCCTAGGCCTACCTCGATGAAATTCTCCGTTTCACTTCGGTTTACTAGATCTAAGACATTCGGTAGGATTCCTTGGGCGAGTGATCAGCTCGTTGCAAGGCATCTACCTGTACACAAACACAAAGACGTACGTACGCACGCGCGCGCGTGCACGCACACACCAAACATCCATGCCCTGAATGGGACTCCAACCCACAATCCCGGCTTCCGAGCTAGCGAAGACAGTGCATGCCTTAGACCGCTCGGCTACCGTCACCGGTCTGCCACCTTCTTACCCCAATATAATTTCTTATATTCTCTCTTACCCTCTGTATCTGTCTGTCTCTCTCTCTTTGGTCCCTTAAGTTGAACGGTTGGTTGTATACCCAAGAGACAAACATGCTTTTTCTGTTCTCTTGAATTTTATAAGCATTTAATCTGGGTGACCAGTTTCCAGGTTAAGAACATCGCCACTGTACCTTCCTAGTGGGACAGGCCCTTCTCGAAGCCCGCATCCAACCCATGTGGGAGGAGGGGCCCACGGTCTATATATATAACTATCGCCGCGCGAGCGACTTAACAAACAGTTCTCCTGCCGTAGCACAACATATTGTTGACGCCACCATGTCACATCTGTTCCTCCAGGTAACATTATTTACATATTTCTTCTTATTATTATTATTGTTCGAAGGATTAAGGATAGTACGTCAAGGCAATTAAATTTTCTTAGAAGTGCTCGACGTTTTCAGCATGAAATACAATTGGCCGTATAGAACGAACAACGAATGGCATGCATACTGTGTACTGGATGTATAGGATATGTGGAAATTTTCTCGATCAGCATAGAAACAAATAGTGATCAGTATTATTGGATCATATTTTGTGTGGCTGAGCTATAATTTGAAAATTTCTTCAAAACAAATTTATAACACATTGCATTAATAATTTATAGTGAAAAAGTAATCAAATATTTATAAATTATTATGTCTGTATATATTATAACAGCATCAAAGTATGTGCTTATTATTACATAACAAATGTGAATACGGGCAGATTGTGTTCCGGTCTATATAAATCTACTTACACGAAGTATGCAAGTTGAAAAAGAATGTCCGAAACTCTTGTCATGAGACGTGAACATTTAATACAACAGCGTAATTCAAATCAAGATTTTAATGTTTAATTCTATTTCGTCTTAAAAATCCATCCTGAGTAAAGTAGAAAATATAAACCGATTAATGTTTGACGTCAGTGGATGTGAAGATTATAAAATCACACCTGGTACAGTTTCCGTAAAATTATAAAAATCATAATTCACCAGCAGTAAAAAGATACTAATATTACAGATTAAAACTATTATTATATATATCCTACTGAAGTTAAAAATAAAAGAAATTATAATTCTCGTCGAAAAAGTTAAAGGGTTTTTAATTTCATTTGGCAAAATAAAGTAAATTTATTTCAATGTTAAATCGTATTTAATCATCCAATAAGACAAATTATTCCACAAATCATTTTGTCACAGACGAAATTTATTCCTAGCTTTAAATCATGAGGAATCTCTGACTTACATTAAAGCTGGTTAGTACAACGGTTAAGAGATTTTATATTTTAATCTGAGTAAGTTGAAATATTATTAGTGCTAATTATAGCTTAGCTGCCGAGTTCAAAACTAGGCTAGAAGATTGATCACATATTACATCAGGACAAGGTTTTATCTTTCTGTAACTCTACTTAATTACGATATAATTTTTAATTGGCCTCTATGAAACCTCTGCACTGCAAACAGAGTCGATGTAAAATAAGCAACCTTAGTGAACACTCCTATTTAGCCTGCAGTTATATTTGTTATTCATATTATTATTATCTCTTAAAATAATGAGTGTGTACAGTCTGAATTTTGTCAATTATTCAGATTTTGCGGGGGCACGCGGTAGCGTAGTTGGTTGAGGGGCTGTGCTACAAGCCGAAAGGTCGCGGGTTCAAGTTCCGATGAGGTCATTGGATTTTTTCAGTTTACCTAATCCTTCCAGCCACACTAGGCCCTGCGGTTTACTCAGCCTCTAACAGAAATGAGTACCAGGAATTAATTAAATAATTTTCCTGGAGAGCAAAGTGCTGCCGGCGCGTAAGGCTGACAACCTTACCGCCATCTTTGAGCCTTCATTCATTCATTCATCAGTAATCTGTCAGACGACAGGTCCACAGTCTTTTCCAAAACAGTTCCTCCACTTAATGCGATGCAGAGCTTTCTCCTTCAAATAAAAATTTCCTCTTCTGTCCCCAAGGTCATCCAGCATCTTCTTACGTCTTTTTCCTCGTCTTCTGGTCACTTGTATCCGCCCCTCTCTCGCATACATGGTATCTCTGATTTTGGAAAGAGACTATCCAGGAAGGCTCCTTTGAGCCTATTGTCTAGAAAACATGGGACCCTCAAAGTCTCACAACCATATGGGCCTTCACGGCCTGTTACAGGGATAGCTTTACTTACTTACTTACTTTTTACTTATTCAGATTTTGCGTGTGACTTAGAAGACGGTGTTCTGGATTGGATGATTGGATTTATTGACAACACACAACTCGAGGCTAGAGGCAATTACAGTGCTATAGATGATTTACACACTTTACAGTTCACAGTTGCACACACACGAACCGACACACACACACACTAGGGTTCTCAGCTTTCTTTAGTCGTATCCAGGAAACGGATTTATAACAGTTTCACTGTCACTTCAAATCAAACATGAAGTCTTCTTTTCACAGCCTAATTCCTTTCTTGTCACTATTCTACAACTGCCAGTTCAGAAGGCTCGACTCAGTTCAATTCCTCTGCTCCCAAGTTCATATCCCGGCAGGCTGGCCTCCCGAAACTCGCCTCTTCACTTCTCGACTACTGCTGTTCTCCACTGACGAACACTTCCTTATAACCACTTTGCACGGACCACGCAAAACGTACAGCCTCTATTGGTACGGAGGGGTGCTTACTGATCCGTTACCAGGCAATAGACGTCCTATTTTTGCGCGCGTTTGCTTGCACAGGAATGTGTTTACCGAGTCGTTGCCTAGCAATGGGTAGACACGTCACAGTATAAAGAGTACCACAGAGGAACAGGGAAAATTAACCGGGATAGCAGGCCACCAGCCAATATTCAAAGTGGTAACATCCAAGTACGAAGCACAAGTAGTAAGAAGTGCAACACAGCGCACAATTAATTTGAACTGAAGAGTATTTACAATGGCAAAGAAGAAGAGATAACAGGAAAGTGAACAAACTTCCATAATCAGAAGCTTCGACATTTGTTCTCTTCATAACATATTATTAGGATGAGATGGGCGGACATGTAGCACGCATGGGAAAGTTGGAAACTCAAACAATCTTACTGAGCGACCTAAAAGGTAAACACCACTTGCGAGGTCTAGACGTAGGTGGGAATATGATATTGAAATGGCTCCTAGAGAAATAGGCTGTGAGGATATTGGCTGGAGTAATACGGTAGTGCTGAGTAGCGGGCTCTTGTGAATAATAAAATCAAATTTCGAGTTTCGTAAACGGCAGGTAAATTCTTGACTAGCTGAGCAACTAACAGCTTTTAACAAGAACTCTGCTCTGCAGGGTTATTTATTATGAAAATAATTTGATTTAATTAAATATTCCAATATCACAGAGTTTCAATAAGGAAAGTTGAGTTGAAACAAAAATGAAAATATTGTCACGTGTATTAGTGACTATAGATTGGGTTTGGATTGGTGAATAGATTTGTTGACCACTTACAGGGTGTAACTACAAATAACTATAACAGTAATGCAGATTTTCAAACTACAAATCATTCCACACTAAGTCTTCTCAGTCTATTTCCACTAGCCTTTACTTGGTAACAGCTCTCTACAATGGCTATTCATCTCCAGTGTTTTCACTAGACGTTTCCTGGTAACGAATCTTCAACTTTCGTTGCCCGCTGGTTAACACTCCAAAACTGAACTGAACTAGAAGCCCTTATGACACAGTCTGAAACCTTTCTAGCCATTTCCTGCAGCTGCCAATTCCGTACACTCGACCACTCTCTTATAGCTACTTTGCACGGATCCCACGGAAAACACAGCCTCTACACGTATTTTTGACAAAATCTCTTTATCGGGTCGTTGTCCAGTAATAGGTATCCGATTCATTCGGGCGTTTGCTTGTTTGTTTGTTTGTTTGTTTGTGGTTAGCGAACCGTTGCCTAGGAATGGGCTCGGCGCGGACCACTTAAAATACACTTCTTCCAATACCTTTCTTGTTTTTGCTTGCGCGTATTCCGGGCGTTGCCTAGACATTGGTCTACATGTCAAAACATAGTAGCAAGGGAGGCTTGCTATATGACCTCTGATGTTTCTCATAGCTCTCTGGTTCCAGGGCGCATCTGTCGCAGGTACAAATATATTTCTACATAATTAATTACAATGGAAATGGACAAATACTATTCGAATCGTATTTCTTTAGATATTGCATATATAAATACACTTTGAAATAAAAGTAAAATGTAAAGTGAAGGTATCCCTGTAACTGGCAGTGGAGGCCCACAGGTTATGAGATGTTTAGTTTCCCACATTATCTAGACAATCGGCTCATAGATTGAGGTAAGGTTGTCAGCCTTACGCGCCGGCCGCCCTTTACCCCCCAGGAAGATTCCTGGAACTCATTTTTTTAGAGGCTGAGTCGACCCCAGGGCCATATTGCTGCTGGAAGGATTAGGTAAATTGAAAAAATCCACCTCATCGGGATTCAATCCCGCGACCTTCAGGCTTGTATCATAGTGCCTCAACCAACTACGCTACAGCATGAAGTAAATGTTATTAATTTCATTTCATGTAATAATATTTTGTATAATGAGCAATTTTTAAGAAAATCGATACATTTAGGTTTGAACTTAAGTTTAAAAGAGCCGAATCAGTCTCTATCGAATCGCTAAGACTCCCCTTTACTATTCCGGGGGTCCAAGCTTAAAGTCTCAGCCCGGAGACCCACTGTTCTGCCTGAGATTTCTCGTGATTTTGTGATATTCCTCTGCCTTTCCATGCAAATGGTGAAGTACCAACATACACCACGAACACTCCCTTCCATATCCTCGCCAATTCTTTATTCACTAATATCCTACCATCTGACATTTTATTTCGTGGTCCACTGACTGCCTTAAGAACATAAATATGGAACCAGAATTAGGTTTGACTGATAATGTTGAGTGTTTTCATGTAATACCAATTTTTATTAAAATTCTTTCAGTGCTTATGCTATGCCGTGTTCCTACACAGATTTCGACATCATATTATTGCGGTATGCAGAACAACACAGGGAGAGTGTAATATAAAATTGTTGTCGCACTTAATTAATTAACATGACATGGTGACATATGTGAGAGTAAAGAATGACCCCAAGCGCTACGAAAATTTTGATCTACATAAAGATAAGTGGTCAGAGGTATGCACAGGGCACTTCACAAATTCATCACATTTGTCCTATAAGTTTTATTGTGTTTAACACATACCGACATGAAGAAAGAAAAAATGTTCTTCTCTGTTTGTTTAACAATGTGCAGCTCCTTAGAATTAGAACGTCGGTTATTAGAGGAACAAATGTTTGTGACTTAGAGATACGAAATTTTTGTCCA